AGAATCCGTTCGTCTGTCTTGTATGCAGTGGAGAATTGGTTTTTATAGTAGACTTTGAGTTGTTCAGTGGAGTTGTCGGTAGTGGTGTTTTTTTTGACGGCTGTCCAGGTATCGTTGAAGTGTCTTGTCGAATGTGGTATATATGTGTATATATATAGCAAACCTACTAGAGTTTTGGGCTCCTTACCTTAGAAAGGAAATTGAATTGTTGGTAAGTGTTAACGGAAGGGCTACTAGGAGGGAAAGGTTAGCATACAAGGATAGGCTAAGTTCTCTAAAAGTGTTTTTTCTTGGAAAAAAAAGTTCGAATAAATCGGATTGGGGTGTTTAAGATTGTTAATGGAATTGAGAGTATTAATGCATCATCTTTTTTGTACTTAATGGTGAGAATGGTAAAGGTAAATCTAGGGGACACTAATATAAATTTTGAAAGGATAGGAGTGTTCATCAGCTAAGACAGCTTTATTTTTCTAACAGGATGGTTAGCTTTTGAAATAGGTTGCCTTCAGTTGTGATAAATGGGATTTTCAAGGAAGGATTAATAAATATTTGAATTATAAGGGCTGGCTTTGAGTATTTTATGTTTGGTTTAGAGTTTAGTATAGTAAATGGGATGGGCTGGATTGTCTAACAGGCCCTTTGTTGTCTTTAAGATATATATGTATTTTATGTATTTGTACTAAAGATACGTCTGTAAATTAGCAAAGTCAGTTTGACTTAGACTGACTATTTGGAGTAATAGGAATTAAATGTGTGTGGAATAACATTGCATTAATAGACTCTGTTTAGACATACAAGTATAATTGTGGATAGGCCTAGCACTTGTCATGAAGAAAGTGCACCAATGGGCTAAGACATGAATTAGAAATGTAAAAGTTAATTTTGCATCAATAAAATCATTTGTTTCTGGGTGTGGAAGTTTCTTTAATCTATATTTGATTTCAAAGAAGGTATTTCAAGCTGCAAACCAAGTCCTTTTGTGATATTTATCATTCAAACCTGCAGTTGTTTATTTGAAAAGTAGATGGGCTTAAAGCTGATGACTGAACAAAGTGTGATTTTAAAGTAGGTTCAAACTCTACTAGACTTTATTCTTTGATATTCATAATGTTTTTATACTTGTTTGTCATTAGTAAGCATGTGTGAAATCATGTTCGAAAATAAACTGAGTCTACCATAGCATTTTGTTTTAAACCACTTTATTTGCCAGTGTAATGATTCTCATCTGTACATACATAACTTTGCTGCTTAGGGATGTGTTTTGACTGTCAAGATGGGGTTTCAATCCCTAGTATAGTTCTGAATTTATTAAATATATCATCATAAGATCTGGCAAGCTTTTAGTAAACATTGCATGTAAAAAAAATCAGAATTTTTAATAAAGTATTTCTATTGAAGATTTGTTTATATGGTTAAAAGTTACAATATATGCTTTTCTGTTTTCCACTTCTTTTATTATGCAGTACATCTTGTTTATAACAAGAAACTAAAATGTCTAAAAAAGAGAAGTGCTGCATCTTTTATAATTTTTAACATAAATGGTAATCACAGATATTTTGTTTGTTGTGCAGTAAGGACCCTTTTTCGTATATATCATGTCCAATATTTTGGTCATGAAGCTCATCATGGATGGACTAAGCCAGGTTGTGTTTTAGCATATGAAGGAAAGGATAAATTTGAAGAATATGTTAAGAAATTTGTGGCTGCAATCCCAAGAGGATGTAAGAATCGGGACAAACTTCTTGCAAAGTTCAAGATCACTGTAAGTTACCATATACATTTTTTCTGTATGGTTATCTTTAGGCTCATTTTAAATATTGAAGAAAAAGGAAAGTGACAACAGAGTTTTCATGAGATTTGATCTCTTGTTATAAAAAAATTGCCAACTTGTGGACAGGAAACTGTGATGCCTGTTTTTCTGTATTCATGCATGTATGTATGTATGTGTGTGTGTATATATGTGTGTGTGTGTGTGTATATATATATATATATATATATGCTATGATTTAGAGCTGGGTGGTCAACTCAGTTAACTGATATAATTGGTTACCATTGGGCATCGGTTCGGTCAATTAGTGCCACAGAAAATAATCTATTAATTTAATGTTTCTGATTAAATTATTGTTTTCAATTATTCCAACTATCCAAATGATCAAAATATTGGCTTTATAATTTTTTATTATTATGTCTAATTAATTCAAGGTTCTTCAGTTTAATTGGTTAGTGTCAGAACTCACAAAAATGATAAATTAATGAAAATTAGTGTTAACAATTAGTACTGTTTTGGATTATTCCAATTATCGAAGTCTCTTGTGTGAATAATTGGTTAGTGGAATGTAATCTTTTAACTCTTTGTTAGTGGCATTGGTCCATTGGGCTGATCCCATATCTGTGAAGCCTTCCATATTAATGTTTAGTTCTGAATTTATTAACTTTATCATCACAAGATTTAGCAAACTTTTAGTAAATACTGCAAGTTTGTTGTACACAAAAAATTAAAAATTTTAATAAAGTATTTCTAATTAAGATTTGTCTGTGAATTTCCAAAGCCTTTTCTGAATCAATCTGTGTGCATGGTGGTTATCTACAGTTTTATATTTCACTTGCGTAAACCTGTAGAACGTTCTAAGTGAATATCAGAAGTTTTTTTCTAATAGGATTATCTATTTTATTTGTTTTTTTGTTCTACCTTAGCACTAACTGTAGTGAAATTATGAATGTACAGTGAAATTAAAATAGAAAAATATGGACTAACATGAACAATACTTTTTTCTTTTTCTGTGAATGCATCATTTTGAGTACATATAAACATTATGAGTAAAGTGCATGACCTGTGTAATATTTTTGTGTGTGCAAGCCATAACTGTGCTAGGACTCAATTTTTTTTACTAAGTTACTTCCTTAAATAAGAATTCATTTAGCATTTAGAACACAAAATATATATCAGGCATTAGATTAGAATGTCCCAGAACTACTGTAATTTAACTACCTTTCTGGTTAAGCTATAAAAAGGCTAAAAACATTTTGGTAGCTGCTCAGAACCAAACATTAATGATCACATGTGATATATTTTAAACAAACTGTCTACGCCTTCCCTATGAAAAAAAACACTACCATATTGAGATTCTGTTAGCCAGAAAATTTCCCTTTCTATTGGTTATAAATATGCTCATCAAATAAGGACATGTGGTATAGAAAAATTTGTTCAAAGCTAAGATAATATGGGAGGAGCTTCACTGATGGATATAAAAAAAATGGACTTATATTTCAGTAATTCTGATATGAACACTCACCTCCATACACAGAAAATTATTTTCCTCTTGAAGTTGTGTTAATTTACCTGAGAGACTTACATGCCACCAGCCTTGCGAAAATTCCACCTAAACTTCACTTGAATATTGTGAATTGTGCTACTGCATGATGTCATATCATGCAGTAAAACCTTCCACCAATAGGAGTGTGACACACCTTCTCGTGGAAATGCATCCTCTACATGCACGTGCAAAATATTTCATTCTTTTCTTCAGCACAGTTATGCTTATACATTTAAATTTTTGCTGAGACTTGTTGAAGTTACTACTTCAACAACATTACTTTGTATTTTCAACCTTTCAGTATGAATTCACACATTAATGTGGGTTCTTATTTCTGCTACTGTGAGAACAATTGAGGAAGTTCTTGCCTATTAAGTTTGTGACAGCCATTGTGTGTTACAAAAGTGCCATTCAATTGAAAATACAGTAAGAAGAAGAAGAGTAATGTCACATTGTCCACTGTTGGGATCCATATGTTTGTTTGGACCTTCTTCTTTCATCTCTGCTACACATTTCCCTTCACAGATTTTGAAGCTGAAGTGTAGGAGGACAAGATGGAGCAACTTTCCACCCAGTACTTTCTACCTAATGAATATCATTTGACTTTCCTGCTTTATTTGAGCCTTCTACCTGTTGTTTCTTTTTTTCTCCCCTATTAGTGCCATATTCAGAATTTACTTCCGGATTCAATTTTCTCCCATTGTTTTATGCCTTGTTCTTCTTGCCTTACCAGGTAACACGTAGACATTATTGTTTACATATAGTTTATTCTTCTTTAACATGTAACTCATAGGACTTAGTGTTTAGATATTGTTTATTACTTCTTAACATGTCCACACGATACTTTGTTTAGAACTAACTCATTACTCCTTAACTTGTACTGCTAGACTGTATTGTTTAATCATAGTTACTTACTCCTAAACATAGACCACTTAGTATATTATGTTTAGTCACAGCTCCTCTCTCTTTCACATGTACACATAGATCTTGTTGGTTGGTCATATGTTCTTATTCCTTATGATGTTAGTGTTTAGTTACAGTTAGTTGCTCTTTCCCATTTACACATAGTCACTGATATTTTGTTCTGGTTTATTACTCCTTAATATATCCAAATAGGAGATGATTTTTACATCTCATTCATTACTTTTTGACATGTAATAATGGATTAAATCTTGTCGTGTATACATAACTATTAATCAATTCACTGTGGCTGGGATGTATATTTCCCAGTGCTCTCACCCCCTCACACTGCAACTGGGACAAATGTATCTTTTGTATAGTAGAGAAGAGCTGTATTAAAAAACAGTACAATAGAGAAAATAAAGTAGCTTACTGGCATGTCTTTTAAGGCAATCTTAATAGTAATATAGCATTTCTTTGTTTGCAAAGTTCATATGGTTTATTTAATCATGTTGCTAAATGTAAAAAAACAAAATATAAAGAGTGCTATGACATTTATTTTATATTATTTTGTCAAAGAACCTTTATACACTATATACATACTGATAATACAAAAATGAAAAATAGTGTTACGTATCTGCTTGTTTGATAATTTCTGGTATAATTCTTTCCGAGGAACTTCAGTGATACAAGTCCTTTATGGATTAAACCAATTTATTCTTCCTTGATACAAACTTTTAGTACACAGTAATTCCACAGTCAATACGTTTCTCGTCACTTTAAACTTACAACTTTTATAATACAGTGATTCACACGCTTTACTTACCGTCACTACTGTTCGCTTCTTTAATTATTTATCCCTCACTGGCTTCTCTGCCAGGCTTATATACTAAAGAAGAGGGCGTCTCGAACACACTAGGAAATTCATGATCATTTGAGAAACTCCTCGCACATGTCACCAACGCCAATGCGCCAGCAGCATCACGTGACTTCTGCTGTCGTAACACTGCCCCTTCCTTAGTATTGTTCATCCCAAACAATAGCCACTTACATTAAACCAATAGATAATTAACGATAACTTAATTAAATGTACAGAATTTACAAACACAGAATTAAAATACAACAAAGTCTCTTAATTTTAAAGGATGTTTCTTCTTTCGTACTGGTCTCCATCTTATTGGTTTCTGCTTTACGTGGGATTCATCTGCTCCATCAGGAAATGTCAGTATCAGTCACATCAGTGGTAGTAACTCCATTAACGGCTTCACTGTTTTCCTTCTCAAAACGGGTGGAGTTTCTTCTTCAACAGTGGCTTTTTTCATGTGATATGTCATCAGCAGCGTCATTTATTCTGTTGTTCACTTTGTTCCAACTGAAATGAGCTGGACCGTGATAACTTCAAAGCCTGTTGGCATGCACCACCTTTGGTTTACCTTGCCGACCACATTTTATTCGGAAAGTCATGTCTGAGAGATGATCCACTATGTCATATGGGCCTTCCCATGGAGAAAACAACTTAGGAGACTTCCCTTTGGTCTTCCTGGGATTATACAACCATACCTTGTCTCCTGGTACAAAGCTGACTTCAGTAGACCTCTTATCATAAGTTAACTTCATCGAATCAGCAGACGTTTTCAAGTTTGAACGCACTTGATGGTGGATATCATCCATCCTTTCCGATAACACTTTCACAAACTCTGACACATTCTCAGGTAACTCTTCATAAGGTGGGCATCCCTTATGTTTGGGTCCCTCTTTTAGCACTACATGTACTGCATGTCCTGCACCTTCTTCGTAAGGTGGGCATTCTGTTATCAAGTCCACTGGCAACCGAAGTTCCCAACCAAACATCAGCTTTGCTGGAGTGTATTCAGTGGCTTCATGCTCTGCTGTTCTATAGGCCATCAACAGTGGAGGGAGTAAGACATCCCAGTCATCTTGGTGGCTATTACAAAATTTTGCCAATTTCTGTCCCAGTGTCCAATTGTACTTTTCTACCATTCCATCAGACTGTGGGTGAAGTGGCATTGTCCTGGTCTTTCGTATGCCAAACAACTTGCAGCATTCATGGAACACAGCTGATTCAAAGTTCTGGCCTTGATCTGAATGCAGTTCATATGGCGTACCAAATCTGAAGAAGAAATCACTAATAGCCGAAGCTACAGTTGTAGCTTCCTGATTTGGTATTACATTTGCCTCAGGCCACATGGAGAAATAATCCATCACCATACATATGTACCTGTTTCCAGCATAAGTTTGGGGCAATGGACCAGCAATGTCAATGGCTACTCTTTCCATTGGTGCACCAACTTGATATAACTTCATTGGAGCAGGTCCCTTATGCTTGA